AAGAGGACGCAAGCAAGTTGGAAGCTAGCAGTGCAGGAAGGCAAGCAATTTGAAGGTTTGAAGCTAGTTTCTAGGCAGTTCAGAAAGCAACGTTTGGCACTATGGGCTGCCGGCCGCGGGTCCGATCCGTCCTTGATGGGCCAACATAGTTGGGCCCCTGGCCGGCTGTCGCGCGTAAGCGCTTAAATCCGGTCAGGGGCCCGCCGGGCCCGGTGCTGGCCGTGTCCTTGCCGTAGGCTTTCTCTCCTCTCCGAAGGGGACAGGGGCTGCGCCCCCTGCCGCCGACCACCGGGTACTTCCAAAAACCCGTGTTTTACGGTGTTTTTTGCTGCTCCCATTTTTTCCCAGTTTTCGGCTCTTGTGGCTCAAGATGGGCCAACATGGGCCAACATAGGCCTCAAGATGGGCCCACATAACCTCAAGAGGGGCAACATAGCCCCCAAGATGGGCCAACATAGCCCCAAGATTTGCCAACATAGCCCCAAGATGGGCCCACATTGCCCTCAAGACAGGCCAACGTAACCCCAAGATGGGCCAACATAGCCCCAAGATAGGCCGCCGACCATCAAAAAGTCCTGCGGTTTACAGTGTTTTTTGCTGCTCTTTATAGCCCCAAGCTGGGCCAACATAGCCCCAAGCTGGGCCCACATTGCCCGCAAGATAGGCCAACATAGCCACAAGATGGGCCAACATAGTTGGGCCCCTGGCCGGCTGTCGCGCGTAAGCGCTTAAATCCGGCCAGGGACCCGCCGGGCCCGGGGCTGGCCGTGTCCTTGCCGTAGGCGTTCTCTCCTGACCACCAGGGGGGAACCCCATGTCGCCAAAAAACCCTGCGTTTTATTGCGTTTTTTCATCCCCATGTTTCATTTTTTCGGAATTTGTGGCTGAAGATGGGTCAACATGGGCCAACATAGGCCTCAAGATGGGCCAACATAGCCTCAAGATGGGGCAACATAGCCCCCAAGATTGGCCAACATAGCCCCAAGATGGGCCCACATTGCCCTCAAGATAGGCCAACATAGCCCCAAGATGGGCCAACATAGCCCCAAGATAGGCCGCCGACCATCAAAATATCATGCGTTTTACAGTGTTTTTTTGCTCTTCCCATTTTTCGGATCTTTTGGCTCAACATGGGTCAACACTTGGAGGATCATGCCCCTTACAAAGGTTTAGGCAGTGATCTATGCGCATCTATGGTAGCTTAGTAAGGCCTCTAAGCTATGATGCATGTACATCTATCATGCCTAAGCTTCGCTATGCACTTACTAAGCGCGGAACATCACTTATAAACTTTATAAACGCTTAGAAAAAATAAAGCACGTAGCTATGACGAACAGATGCTCTTAACTTTAAGTTGCCTAAGTGGTTAGGTGAGGTTATAGGGCACTTAGCCTAAGCATGTCTAAGCACTTAGCTAAGTGCTTATTTAGCCACTTAGCTAAGCTATAGCTAAGCTATAGCTAAGCACTTAGCTAGTTGCAAGCTAAGTGCTTAGCTAAGTGGCCTAAGTGCATCATAAGTGACCTCCAAAATTGACCATTTCGTCTTTGTTTTAACTAAGGGAACCTTCAATTTCAAACATGGAATGGGAGGGGTCCATGGTTTCATGAAGTCCATGGTGGTCATTCAAAGGGTTTCAAGATTTGTTTTTGATTCGTTCTATATATAATGCAACATGTGTGACACGCGCTTTTCAACTTGCAACTGTGTTTTTGCAGGTCGGAAGTTTGGAAATCAAACAGGTTTGGAATCATTTTTTTGTGATGACACCAGAAAACAAAGAGACACGTAAAGACACCATCTAGTTTCTGGAAACTGAAGATTGAAAACTTCATGCTGTATACTTCGTGGATTCACGTCATTATGAAACAATTACGGTTGTATCAGTTTGGTTTTTGAAACCTTGCCACGTTTGACATATGTGGGAACAATGATTTTTTGGGCATTGGATATGAACGACCTCGCTCTGTTGTGGACTATGGTGGCTGCTGCCAGCTGAGAACAGGTGCGCCCCCACCCCCTTGCTCTGCATCCATGACCGCTTTTAGTTGGAAATGAAAGGAGGAACTGTCTCGCATGAAACAGTGCACTTTTTCTGCAGTTTCCATTGTCGGTTTATTCAGCGGTTTTTCTTGTGATGTTTTTTCATTTCTATATATAGCATGTTGCCATGAACAAAACCAAGTGCAGGTTGTCAAACACATCATGTGCATACCGTTTTTGATTTGTATGCCACTTGGATTTGCACGTCCTGAGCCATTTTGCCTGCACGCCCTTAATTTTGAGGCAGTGTTTCGTGCACGCCTTGCAGGGTTCATTTTCGAACTCGCACTATGCCGTTGGGCCAAGATGTTCGCGAGAAGGTGGCTGGTTTCATCAAGCAGGCTGAGAACGGGGGGGCATGTAGCTGCTATCTCCAACTTGTTTACGTACCTGAAGTCTTGCAATTTGATGTACACCCAGAGAGTGATCCCACCTTTGGTGCACATTCACCCTGACAATCGGGATGGATTAGGTTGCTACCCCACAGAGGTCCACGGACTTTTGACTGACATTGGCAGTAGTGGATGGTCATGGTCAGAAGTGAAAGCTGTAGCAACCGAAGTCCCACAGACAGATACCAAAGTGGAAGAATTCAATAGGAAGTTGGTCTTGCGTTCCCAGAACATGCTTCCAACAGTGAAGTTTGCTAGCCTCAGTGCCAGGCTCAGTGCCACCCACACGAACTTGGTGCTGCGTTTGTTCCAAGCAGGCTGCAAGCACAGTGATGAAAGATTCTGCACGTCAGGACACTTGTCCATGGAAAAGTTGAAGAAACATGATCCAATCTACCATGATGCTGTGACTCATGGTCTATACTGGGACATTGTCTCGTCAGAAGTTTTGGATGCATTTCCAGAGCTTGCTTCTCTCATCCAGCTCACGGCAAACACATCAGGGCAATTGCAAAGAAAAGAAACCGAGCTCCAGCTAGCTAAAAGGATATATGCATGCTGGGAAAAAAGTCCAAGGCCATTTCCATTGTAAAGTTCGAAGATGTGAAAGCCGATCTCATGAGGAGCAAGCCTGCGTGCCAGGAATCATTGGCCAATCTCTTCCGTTTTGTCATGCAGTATGGTGGGGGTCAAGGCTGCAGTTTTTTGAATGAGACCATTGAAGTGAGTTCAACATGTCCACCAAAGACCTTGGGCAATGAATTTTGGTCTGCAATCTTGACGCATGGGCGATTTTTGGTTTCACTTCAGTCATTTGTTTCTTGAGAACTTTGTTTGTTGTCATCAGGTATATATATATATATATATACAATTTGATGAAAAATATGAACATAATTTTCCTGGGTTTGATTTTCATTGCAACAATAAAAAAACCGAGGACAGTCGCCACCATTTCTTCGAACCCGGCATGTGTACATTCAGTATGCGATGCACGAGGGGTCCATTTCCCCGGGTGAGATCAAGAAAATGTTCTCTTCCCAGCTGGATCGGGTCAAAGTGACTGAGGAAATCTTTGTCAAGTTGAGGAATTGCATCGCTTCCAATCCCAGCATCAAGGATTGGCAGCATGTGCATCAGTTTGAGCGTGATGCAATCAAAGTTCTCCTCCAACAGAACCCCAGTGAGTCTTTGCAGAGCCAGGCATGTGCGCTTGTTGACAAGATGCAGGACTTATCCGGAGTAAAGTTGACCAGTGAATTTGAGTCTTTGCAGAGCCAGGCATGTGCGCTTGTTGACAAGATGCAGGACTTATCCGGAGTAAAGTTGACCAGTGAATTTGACTCCTACCGTTTGCAGTCAGCCGATGCCCCCTCTAGTTCATCCACGGGCAAAACACCAGGGGATGGTATGGTGACCCTCAGTTGCAATGAACGTGTATTTTATTTTTCAAACCATTCAACAAAAAACATTGGCACTTTCATTTTTTACTCCTGGTGCCTGCGCAAACTATGATAAGGATGCGCGAATATGATCAAAGTGGAAGTTTGGTGAACACACAGGATCTCCTGAAAGAACATGGTTTCGAACTCGGTTGCCATGTGTCACGGAAGGATGGAATTCTAGCAAAAATCCAAGCTTTTGAGGATGGCACCTCCATGGTTGTCCTAGCTATAGATGATGCCAAAGGTGGCAGGGTTGTGAAGGTGGACGCCGCTAGCTTTTTGAAAGGCCAGTGGGCAAAGTACCAGCCCAAGGCCTTGCCACAGTACAGGGGAACTGGTGGGAGCCAAGTTGCTTCGAGCACAAAGACTCCATAGTCTCGTACGTGAAGGGGAAGATTGCACAGGAGCTGAGACAAGCTACCATATGTAGCTGCAAGCCATCAGGGCTTCTTAT